AATGCGTTTACAAGGTAATATATAGTACTTATGCAAGTACTGTGACCTCTACATTCAATCCTCAAAATCATTACTATATCCTCTCCACATTGCCCAGGGATAACTGAAACTGTAATCCAAACGATAACTAATACCCCCAACACCCACAGCCTTAGCTATCTCCCCATGGTGACCTTTTGCACAGAAACATCCTCTGAAACACAGCGGCATGTGCACGTTACCCAACATTCCTGCAAAGTTTTGTTGAAATTGGTCCGCAGGTTTAGAAGTTGACCGACGAGCAAAAGCCGTCTATATTGACCAGTTGCCATGGCAATCAATATTTCGAGGGAAAATGGTGCATGCACATCTACACATTGTCTTGAATATTACTGAAAAGTTTCATTGGAGTTGTCCAGACAAGATGTGTCTACAGACAGACAAACAGATGGATGGACTGATAGACAACCTGATTCCAGTTTACCCACCCTTTTGGTGGTTTAAGAATGCACAAGAGTGCTTACAAATTCCATGTGTACAGACATTATGGAAAAATAAAAATAATAATAATAAAACATGATACAGATGCTTATATCTTGTTTTACATTACATCTTGTCATGTCAATATCCTAGTACAAGATTGCATACACAAAATTGTTGTAGGTAGACTTTTAAGATACATAAAAAAATACATGCCTAAGTTTAAATGAAGGTTTTAAACAGAAGTCGTATTATGTTCAGTATACAGTGATTTTTCTAGACAATTGTAAACTATAAACTTGGTATACAGCCATCTTTTCTACACATTTGTAAACAACAAACTCAGTATGCGGTGATATTTTCTACAAAAAGTTTTTTTTATATATATTGTATACACTAAACTCAGAAAAAAAATAAATAAGGAAACCTTTCTATGTACACTACAAACTTAGTATACAGTGATCCTTCCTACACAAACTTGGTATAACTAGTGAATCTTTCTACTCAAGTAAATTGAAGATTGTATACAAATTTACTACAAATGCAGTATACAATGATCTTTTCCATATTTTTTAGTTTCCGCGATTTGTTGATTCTTCTTTTGTGATGGTAAATATATTGCTGCTTTAGAGAGTACTGTGACCTTAAAAGGCAACATGGTTGTTAGCATCTCCTCAAGTTATTAATCATCTTCAACATCTAATTGGAGGTTGGAAAGAAGGACGTTTTTCTCCACCATAAGGTTTTCAAATCCATTGTTGGTCACAATGGCCAATTCCAACTTAGAAGAATCAATAGAGATACCTTCTACCATTCCAGATTTCATTTCTTCAGGGACATCCACCTGCTGAAAGAGAGTAAGGGAAATAAATAACTATATTTCATTATTGCTATGATTATGTGCAAGAAATATACACTTCTGTATAAGCCTATAGTCTTCCCAATAGGACAAAATAATAATATCTTGACCATGGTCATACAGAGATTGAATCATAAAATTAAATCTGTGCAGTATGATAATTTAATTTGACATTTGTATTTCAAAAATCATTTTGACTTAAAAAGTAATGTGTAATTTAATTAATTACAATGGACTGTCATGTAACGGCAATTTAATTATTTTGAAAATACCTGTAATGGCAATGCCATTTTCATAATGTAATTGTAATTTAATTAATTACATCATCATGTAATTGAACCCATGCCTGTTACAAACAGTAGCCGTCCTAACTGATCCTAAATTAACTTTGGCTACGTCGATCACAAAATTAACTTTGACTATGTCTATTACAAATGCCACATTTAGCTACAGTAGAGGTATTTCAAAAATGTACGTCATTGTAACTGAAAGTTCTGAACAAACCACTACAAAGCCTGGTTAACTGTACTAAGAAAATGTCGTCTCAATTAATCAATTTTATTCATTATCGACATCTTATTGTTGTACTTCCAGTCACTTGAGTTTCTTAAAGTTTCAATTTGACTTTTAATAAGGCCCAAAGTGATAATACTGCAATGTCTTAATAAGCTCTCGAGGGGTATTGGTTAGACTATTTATCCCATTTCATTCCATTCACCATGGAAACAAAACTCTAAAACGCTTAAAAACAGTCGACAATTAACGACAAATATTGAGCCTAGGGCTGTGTAAAACTGATGAATCAAGTGTTGAACTGAAAGTTGACGCAGTTGACATAATACTGAAATTTCTGAGATGAACAAATACAGTACATATATTAAAAGTTCAGGCATAATAAGAATTGTACCAATTACACTTTACACATTCACACTGGGACCTTACACTTTACACATTCACACTGGGATCTAACACTTTGCTAGGTTTATCCTAATCTTCATTAAAACACTTTCCGGGATTCAGATGTTAATTGACATCTTCATTATTCCCAATTTTCATATTGTAATCGTTCACATGCATCACTCTTCAACAGAATCAACGAGACATCATGTCAGAAAGACAAAAACTAAATTTAAGCTAAAACTATATATATAAACTTCATATGTAAACCTTACAATTGGCATAGCTGTAGAGTTCCCATACGATTTCATACCCTGGACTTGGGGTACTTATAAATTATCTCCGATCAGAAATTTGAAAGAGCTAGATCTACAATAGCACGGACAGTGACTGATATTTTAAAGTAAAATCAATATATTACACCGATAGATTCCTAGATCTATTCACAGTAGCGTAAGTAGTACAGTACAATATTATGGATAAGTTTTTTCTGTTTAATTTCCGATCTGTTGGGCCACGGACAGAAGTGACTGCGATGAGACCATTATGAAATGATCATTCAAAAATAAATTCATTTCAAAACACTGAAATACTTTACGGAAGCAACAAAAATGTGCTAGATGCTTACATAACATTTTTTCAAATGCATACTGCTTCAAAGGAAAAGTCTTGAAAATATTTTGAAAAAAGTGCCATGGCGGCAGTGCCCAGCTTGCGCATCGCCGTCGAGCCTAAATTCAATACATGCGATGGCTCATTTCAAATGAATTGTTGCAAAAAATGCAATTGCTAGTTCAGTATAAGTATTGACATTAAATTCAGCTTATATATATATATATAGTGATACTTACCTACATAAGTTACCCGCCATCTTCTTTCAGCCGCCGTCTTCTTTCCGGGGCAGCACCGAGCACCCCAGCTGTTTCCGTCAAAATTTTATGCTACTCTAAATCATTCTTATTTTAGTTTCATTTTTATTTTCAACTACATATTTCAGTATTTTTAATAGTTTTCAACAGTATTAAACGGGAAGTAAATTTTCGAAAAAGAAAAAAAAAGATATACATGTATATGACACCCACAATGCATCGCGCGGAAAAGAAAGTTAAGTCGCCATATTGGCATCGCCTCGCAAAAATTACCACCATAAACGTGAGTCTTTGTCATTGTATTTACAAATTTCGATGTCTGATTATCATTAATACACAACACAAAACGTTTTCTTGATGTACAAGTAATGAAGAAAATGTCGATAAGTTTGTTTCATTTAATGACTAGCATCAGCAACTTGTAGGGGCGATAATCCAATGATTACAGTAATGTCCGGCAGATGGAGTAGGAGTAAACTTTCGATTTATGAACCAATGAAAACGAAGTACTGATACTCAGGGCCAGGGGCGACAGCAACATGCTGGATAGCATTGAAAATGCTCTTAGCATAAAAAAGCAAAAAGAAAAGAAACAAAAAAGAGATCCTGCAAGGATCTTGGTGCCTACTTTTGTTTGATCTTTAATTGGTATTTAAAAGTTGGATCTTTTCTTTTGTAAAGATAATCTTGAACTGTAAGCCATTATATTTTCCTGATCTGTCCTAAAGTCAAATCTGTGAAAGATTCAACATTTCCCATGAAATAGCAATAACAACATTTCATTGACAAAATCCAACATGGCGGCCTGTCAGCCATTTTATCAGTCTTAAAATCAAGATGGCACAACTACCCTAATCTTTATGTGAAAATTAGGAAAGATCCAACTAGCATTTCTCAAGAAAAACAATAACAATAATCCATTGTCAAACAAAAGATGGGCACCTGTTAGTCATTTTGCCACCTGTCAGCCATATTATTTTTCTACTTTATCCAAAAATCAAAACGGCATAACAAGAAATCAAATGTAAAGCTTGGAATAAGTATTGATTGTAATTCCTCATATTGATAAAACACCTAAAACATTGTTGATATTTTGCAAATTTCTCAAAAAATTCTCCTTCCCCAAACTAATATATTCATTCAAAACAATCATAACTACTAATATTGTTCAAGTAGAAATCAAAGAATTTCTTATATACGGCCTTAAGTGAATTCACCAGAGTTTAATTAATGCACCATGTAGTGCAGTCCTTATGATACTGTACATATACATAGAACAGATGTCCAGACTTGCAATTAGCACAGGATGTGCATTTGAAATATCCATGAATTCACAGGCAATATATCTCATGGTAAGTAATGATGTAGGAAGTAAAAAACAGATGTTAAATAAAAATGTTTATACAGGAAGTAGAGTTATACCAGACATATCCCTCAGAGTTAACTGTTTATACAGGAAGTAGAGTTATACCAGACATATCCCTCAGAGAAAAAATTTCAGAGTAAATTGAGATGGGAGGACTCTTGTGTTGAAGTTTAGGAGAAAGAAAAAACAAGAAATGATGATTATCTGGATGCAGATGTATACATGCAAAATCACTAGTTTTGATTTTACTAGCAGTATAATTTTGCTATAATGACTTGCATCAAATTATTTCAAATATTACATTCAATAAGCAAGTCACCATAATGACTTTTACTTCTCTTTCCTGGCTTTTCTTTGTTTTTTTTTTTTTTTACACCTTTTTTCTCCTATATATAGATATGTAGTTAGTTGAGGCCATGTAGAAAGAGATCTCATTTCTATACAAAATTGGTAATTGAATATAATATACACTTGTAGAAGAACCTTACAGCTTGAATTAGATAAATCATAGAAAATGTCAGAAAACTTTGTTTTAAGTTTAAAAATGGACCTTTTTTGGGTGAGGATGACAGTTGAGTGGTAAGTGAGCAATCATTTCTTGGTAGGCAAATTCATCCCGCTCTGAACACTGTACTATTCCATCCAGGACCAAGACATTTCCAAAAGATTTGCTGAAAAAACAAAAACAATTTTAGAAATTACACAAGAGGAGAAAAGAAAAATGTGAAGTATAGTTGAAACTCCAAATTGCTGGAGTCGAAATTCCATTTGAGTCGAATTAGGTCCCAATTTTGTTTCTTCTATATCTTTATAATTTTAGTTCGGGGTTGGACGAGTCATATTTCATTGTGTCGAAACTTCGGTTGAGCTGAAGTAATTTTTCAGTTCCTTCAATTATAAAGCAATGGAAAAGTCATTGGTTAACTAAAAATTATTTTTTGTCGAAACTTCTGATAAAATCTGTATATGGGTCAATCGTGCACACAATACTCCGTCTCTAGCTCTTAATTATCAATTTAATTATCCACTTAAAAGTTGGCTTCTTAACTAGTGTAACCATCCTGTAGCAGTGACTTACCCGCATGTTAAAAAGGTAGTATGCTTACACATGACATGAAATCATTTAGCTTGGTTGTGTGCATCTTCAGGAATCATAAAAACGAAACTCACACCAGTAAGAACCTTTTGACGAAATCTGATCCCCACAATTTCAAGGGAAACTAATTTTTGAGTTTGTTTACTAAAGGACTGTGATTTTGAGGTTTTTTAATGTAAAACCAATTTTCATGATGTAATACTTACCATAACTTTAGTATGCAAATACAGTACCTACACCCATCTTTGTATCCCAACAACAAAAGATTCAAAAGAAAAACAATCCCGCCCTCCCTACGATCCATGAGCCATCACGGCAGGAACGCAGAGTGATCTCCCTTCCTCTAATAACCTTTATGGCGTAAACCCCACAGAGGGGCAGCCAGGCAGACAAGGAAGAGGGGAGGATAGGGTGGAACTCCATAAAGTTATGGTAAGTATTACATCATGAAAATTGGTTTTACATTAAAAAACCTCAATTTCATTTCAGTAATAATTACCATAACTTTAGTATGCGAATTCGTCTTACCGTAGTGGTGACTAGAAGCCAGGCAGCCCCTTCAGCACAACCAAAGTAGTAGGGAGGGAGAACAGAGTGCTAAAGTGAAGGAAGGGACCTCTCTGTGAAAGAGCAGGTGTACCCACATGCCGCCGTACGGAAAGACATGGCCCGGGGCTAACGAGGAGGCCCAGCCACTGACTATGCCACCACCAAAGGTCCCAATGAATACAGGCCTTCTGAGTGGGAAGCTAGGGATCACAGGTAAAAATCTGTGAAGGTATCCCTGTCCTGCCAGAATACTGCAGACATGACCTCCTGAAAGGAGGACTCATTGAGAGAAGGGCCCAGGATGAAGCAAGGGCCCTGACCTCGTAAGACCGCGCTTTCGCTCTCGCCCGAGCCAGATCATCAAAATGCTCGTAAGCATACTAAATCACCTGGCAAACCCACCTGGAAACCGACTGGGAGGAGATATCTCGTTGTCCCTGTTTAATGGGCAAAACAGACGGGATCGAGAGCCCCGCCCGAGCCAGATCATCAAAATGCTCGTAAGCATACTAAATCACCTGGCAAACCCACCTGGAAACCGACACACCAATGGGCACAGAAGATCATCCATCCAACGTGACTGGTAGACGGCAGAAGAGGAAGCCCTGATTGATTGCTCAATGCAATCTGACACCTCTTGAGAAAAGCCTGCCTTGGCGTGGCTTCCAGAGATAGCCTCAACGCGTGAAGGTGGAGGATCTCTGGTCAAGAGTGTGTCGTTCTGGGCCAAGGCTGGCGAAGGAGATTCGGTTTGGTGGGGAGAGCCAAGGGCTCCTCCACCAGAAACGACAAGAGCTCCTGAAACCAAGCTTGCCTCGGCCACAGAGGGGCTCTCAGAAGTAAGGAGCAGTGATGCTCCCAGAACTTCTGTAGAACCCTGCCCACCAGGTTGAAGGGAGGGAATGCATATGCATACGTCCCTTCCTATTCCAGAGAAAGGGCGTCCACAGCCAACGCCTTACGGTCTGGGACCGGGGAGACGAAGGTTAGCAGCTGGTTGTTCAGGGAAGTGGCAAACAGGTCTATAATAGGTCTGTCCCATGCCTGACAATTCCCCTTGAAAATCAAGGGACACAGCTGCCATTCCGTCAACACCGGCTGGTGGCACCTGGAGAGTGGCCACCAACACACTCAGCCTGCCAGAAAGATGCTTGACCGCTATGGTCAACTGCATGTCCTAGCAGAGAAGAAGGATGTGGATGGAGAGGGCACACAGGACATGAGACCTGGTGGCCCCTGTCTCTCCAGATACGCGACAACTGTTGTCGGTAGCCACACTTTGGACTGCAGGATACCCCTAAAGGACTGCAGAGCCAAATGAACAGTCTCATCTCGAGTACACTGATGTGCTCCGAGAGCTGTTCGCCAGACCACTCCCCGAGTGGCATTGGCCATCGAGGTAAGCTCACATTCCTGTCATGAACGCGTCCATGAACAGGATCATAGAGGGGATAGGCTTGGTCAGAGGTACCCCGTGGAAAACGTTCTCCTGAATGGTCCACCAGCAAGAGAACTCCCTGACCGACTGGGTAAGCGGGATCCAGGCCTCCTGGATGACGGAACCCAGTCAGACAGGAGGAACATCTGGAGAGGTCCGATGTGAATCCTCCCTAGGGGGACCACATATGCCAAGGAGTTGAGATACCCCAGAAAACTGAGGAACCAATGTACCTGGACAAGCGACCAAGTGATGAAAGTCAGAGCCAGAGCCCTGACCTTCTCAAACTTCTCCAGAGGTGGAAGGGCTAAGCCCCGAACCATGTCAAAATGGTTCCCCAGGAAGAAGAAGTCCTAATATGAAGGAACCTCTGACTTCTCTCTGGAAGGAATGAAGCCGACTCTGAGCAAGAGTTTCAGGACCAGACGAGTGTCCTTCACTAATGATTCCCACACCAAAAGAGGCATGGGGGAGTCGTCGAAATAGATGTGGACGTCTATTCTGCGTGAGTGAAGGAAACACCAGCAGCAACTTGGTGAACACCAAAGGAGCTGTCGTGAGCCCCAAGGGCATCTCTGCCTTGGCAGCATGGTCCCTACTTCCTCCTGGAGCACCCGTGCCCTTTCTGAATCCCCGGGAGGAGGAAAGAAACAAAAACGGCCAGGAGGCGAGGGACGAATCCTGAAGAAGGGGAATACCTAGACCCTCCCTGACCACCGACAAAAGCCAAAGCGTCATCTGTAATATCCTGCCACTGGGAAAGGAAAGCAGAGAGACGTCCGCCCACAGGGAGTTCCGGATGGGGCAGATCGAGCCCCTGCCAGACCAGAGAATCGTCTGCCCACCCGGAGCCTGAGCCTGCGGGAGAAGGACATGAGCCCGGGAAAGGAGAACCACCGTCCACCCGGCCATACCCTTCGCCTTTCGCGGCCAAGAAGCAGAAATAGTCAGGAACCCTTCTTCTTGCCCCCAGGAGGTTTCTTACCCTTCCTACCCTTCCCCTTGTTGCCGTTGAAGTGAGGTTGGGACTTGGGCTGTGCAGAAAACTGAGCAGCCGAAGACTTTGCCTTCTTCTTAGGAGGCACTGACCCCTGCGAGGCACTGGCCTTCTCAGCCTGAAACCTCTTCACCAGAAGTGCTGAGGCGACCGAGTCCTCCTTCATATCCTTCTGAACCCAAGGAAGAGCTCCCCTGAACAGGGTAGAGCCCTAGAAGGGGGCATTCAACAAGCGGAAACGGTAGGGTTACTGGACTGGGCAGAATTTCAGAACTGAAAACTGCCTAGCCAACACGGCATTGACGAGCAGAGAACCTGCAAGGCTGCCGTGTCCTGTATGTCAGCTGTTCTGTCTAGGATAACCGACACTCAGGCAAATCGGATACCCTGTATAGACAAACTGTCAGGAAGTCTATGTATGACAGAACTTGGATGGAGAGGTGCAACATTCTCTCCATCCTGTGGTGCTCTTTGGGATCGAGCACCACCTGGTTCACTGATTTGCCGGCCAGGCAGCCAGCTGTCTCAACTCCAGCTGTGCTGGTTGAGAGGCCAGCTGCCCATCATGTGTGGCATAGTCGGAAGCTGAAGCCTCCGACAATTCACCAACACTGAGCTGCAGACCAACAAACCCGGGAGCACGGGTAGAGAAGGAGTCTTTCTCTAAAACCGGAGCCCGGGCCGTGGCCAGAACCGAAGACATGATATTGCCTTCTGGCAGAGACCGATCTGAGCGAACGGAAGCCCGAGGAGCCACCAGGGAACCCAGAATGATGGTGGATTCAGGCGCCGACGATGCTGAGGCGGTGGGCAAACCTCCACCCTGAGAATCTGGGAGATGCTGGCCCGGAGGACCCGCATCCCAGAAAGCACATGCTGAGCCTCGGCTTCAGCAGTCTCAGGGCCATCTTCCCCTTGTAAACCCTCTTGGCCCAGGAGAAAGATGAATGACATCGTCTTCCTCTGCCGAGCCCGCACCCTCGATGTCCATCTCCTCCTCAATAGAGACCGAAGTCCCCTTGGGAGGAACAGGGGCCGCCAGAGGAGCCATCTCTGCAGAGGGGAACTCCTCTTTATGGCATTTGGACGCAGCGCGACCAACAGCCGTAGCTGTAGGCTTGGGTCGGAGCCCCGAAGCCGACCCCTGGGAACAGGAGACCGACGGGTCCGCGCTGGAGGCGGAAGTCCTTAAGGTCTGGCAAACCTTTATAGGACCGGCCAACAAGGCCCCCGAAGTAGCAGAACACTGGGGGGATTCCGCACTGCTATTTCATCTCCTAGAGGAGAGACCAACCCCTATGGGTTCCACGAGTGAAGACCCATGGGGTAAAAACCCAAACCCCTGAGGAAATGGGAACGGTCCAGCGGGCCGGGAGTGACCCCAGAACTGGCCAAGATTGCCTGCCTGAGTCTGGGGCTGGACACCCTGTCCAAAGGACCAGGATGAACCGCCACTCCCACCAGGTGGAAACCCAGACAGGTACGGGCTAAGCCCGTAACTGCTGAGTAACTGTTGGTACCCAAAACCATCCGCAGGTTGGCCTGGGCGACCCAGGAATAAGTGCCCGCAGGCACCCCTACTACCTGAGCCCGGGGGAAAGGGAGACCGGAAACCGGACTCCTGGCCTGAAGCCCCAAACCCTTGGAGGAAAACCCCCTGGGAAACCCTGCACTGGGAAATCTGGATTGGGACGGAAGTCCCAGAGCCAGAAGCCTGTGAGGGTGGGAAAACAGACCCCGCGCTGACACCAGGATTAGTGAACTCAAGTGTCACTAATCCCCGTAGCCACAGACAATCCTGACAAAAAGTCTGTGGCCCCTGACCCTATACCCGGAGGCACAGTTCCGGAGTCAAAGCGGCCCCCACCAACGACGCCACCTGGCGTGCCGAGGTCCCTGAAGGATCAGAGACCTCGACCGGAAGTCCCTTTCCGACGGTAACACCGCTGCCTATCGAGAGCTACCGGCCAATTTGACCCTTGACTGCGCCGAGTCAGGGTCGGGCTGCCCCCCCACCCTACTCCAGGACGCACCTGGACAGGGGGAGCCACCCCCTGCTGAAGGGCGGAGCTCGGTGGAACGAGAGCACCCCCAGCAGGAACGCTCTGGTTCAGAACTTGAGGAGGGAGGTCTTAAAAAGCTTACTTCCCTTACCGGAAGAAGAGGATGAATCCCTCTTCCGGCGGAAAGTTAGCTGGAAAGGCATGGGAGCCTAAGCAGCAGACTCCATGTGCAAACAAAGTTCACA